TTTCAAAGTAAGTACCTATTCTAGAACTACACGAAATTTTCTCAAGTTTTTACCACAAAAGCAGTTAATCGTCCTGAAATTGCTACATACATCGGTTAAGGAATGCATTGTTTAGTTACAGTTTATGATAAAGATGTCCATCTTCTAGATTATTGCCTAGACAGGTAGAACTAAGTTAAGTTTAGTAACATCATATCGACAGCGGAAAAGCAAAATAGCTTATACACCACTTTGATGCTGCTTAAAAATTAACATTCAATAATAACTGAAATAAAGTTAATTTTTAAGCAACACCAGAGTGGTGTATGTGCGATTTTGCTTTTCCACAGTATATATTTTATAGCTATATCTGTCCTGTACCTACCTAGCCTAAACTTCCCTGAAGTATTGAACGTGCCTTCACATACATAGATGTAGCGGTGAACTTCTTTAGCGAAACCACAAACAAATGAACTAGCGCAGTAAAGTAGTATTTGTATGTAAAATTGTGACTGTGCAGGCTTTCTTGTCAATACTTTATGCTTAGGAACTTTGCCATTGTTTAACACTTTTTTTTCGTTACCGAACAAGGAATAAAAGAGTTGCAAAGCATAGCATTTATTAGGCTGGATTTTTTCATGGTTCTGTAATTCTTAAGGTATACTTGACAGTAGAATAACCTTGACATGCTTCATGAAGTACAGTTACTTTTTCTTTGATAACCAGAGACCATTAAAATGAATAAAATTTGTTCTAAATTACTTTCAGGACCTGTTTGGATTGAAACAAAGAGGCATATTCCATTGCACTACACTCTGGCTAGTAATAACTGCAACTTCATTCCTATACAGTTACTTGTGCAGTAAAAATAACATACTTGTCGCTACATTCATGTTATTCATAGCTTTTACAAGTCACCATCTGAGAGATGCCAACAGAAGAGGCTTTTGGTTATATCCTTTAGGACATACAGCTGCAGTACCAACATATATGTATATAATATTAACTATGTTCTTACCAAATGTGTATCCGCACATATATTTTTATATGAAACCTTTAATGTTTAAGCATACTGTTGTAAATTATAACTTGGTTGTATAAAATTTATATTACAAACTAATCGGTTATATTATTGGGTTTCATTTATTCATTTTTGTAAAGTTTGCATTCCTAATGATGACAGATTTATATTTAGAAAAATATTTTCCATAATGCCCACATTGTATATATTCAAAATTTCGTAAAATAAAATTGTAAATTAGTGAAACGGAACGTAATTTTTATATTAGTTTTCTATATTTGTTGTCTTTAAAGCAAACTATTAAACAAACGCGTGAAACGAAACGCAAACCGCTATTTTGAATGTAGATTTTGACAGATACGTGGTGTGTCATTCATTCTGTTGCTTTCGAGTTTTCGTGAATGTGCTCCCGTGTAATTTGTGATATTTTAACGATATAGCATCTTTTCAGTGTGTGACATTTGCTGAAGAAAACGGAATGGTGTTAACTCAAAAAATATGCAGAACACATCGCGGCTAAACTGTAATGCAGGCAGTGCTGCCAACCCGAATTTTAGAAAATTAGTAGATTATGTGCCAAATGTTGGTAGAAGTTGGTAGAATATGAAATGCAAAATTGGTAGATCTACCACCTCAATTTAGAAGATTTTTTAAGATTAAAAATGCATGCAATGTAGTGTTGGGTAGGACACTACTTGAAAAAGAGTTTGTAAGAGTAGCCTCTTTTTTGTACTGAGCCAGTACAATGTCCCACTTCAAATGAGGCGAGGCGTACTGAAGCTCGGCAATACATTTGAAGTGACGAGTACAAATATGACATTGAGGCGTACAGAAGTTCGACATTACGTTTGTGTGCACGAGTAGCACCTCCTCTACGCACTATCAATCTTGCTGGATCCAGCATGCAGGACAGCGCTATACACGTAAAAGAGATAGAGATACAGATGGATAGTGCGTAGAGGACTTAAATAAAATGTTATGTCTCGCTCTCTCTCTCAGACTTACGAAGAGTGAGTGAGTAACGAGACGCGACTATCGCGACATTTAATGTGAAGTAGTACATTTTAAAATTTTGAGCCGCTCTTACATTTTGACGTCATGTCCGGGACACATGTACCGCCTCTTGTAAGTCCTACTCAACACTAATGCAATGCAATGCAGAGCACACTTCAGATCACACCTACATGATTTGCAATAAAAATATCCGTCACCCTTAGTAATTTCTTGAATCCAACCTGCAAATTCCTTGTCTTTCTCCCATTATTTCGAATACTTTTGGTTATAGTGCCTTTTTCTAGGTTTTCGTGGCGGAGTTCCTAACCTAGAACTATGTTCATCGCTTTCGCTGCTGTCAGAATCCATTATATAAATAAATGCACGCAACATAGAAGAAACAGCAATCAGCACCGTTAATACGCAGTTAATTAGTTTTTACAATAAAATAGGAGCAAATATTCGACATTGATTCCGCAACAAACCAACCGGGAATAGGCCACAGTAGTAATAGTAATATATGGGCGCGAAATTGTGCGAACGCCGTGGCCGAACTCATAGCGAACTGTTGCTGACGTTTTTTTTTGTGGTTTATGGCCTGGACTCTATGTATACTTGACGCATCGTTGCATGGCTCACGCAACACATCGCAACGTCGATATAAAAATAATTCAAAGTGGTGATATGTCAAACTAATTAAAAAATAGGTAGTTTTTAGGTCAAGGGTGGTAGATAGGTAGACTGAAGTGAAAATTGGTAGATCTACCAAAAAGTTGGTAGATATGACAGCACTGAATGCAGGGTCCAAGTTTATGAAAGTTAATAAGTATTTCCGGCGACCGGAAATAGTGGGGGGGGGGGGGGTCTATTCCCTCCCCCCTCCCTCGCAAACCCCAAAACGGGCGACTTATTTCTAAATTTTTACCATTTACTTACTCAAACATTAATTTACAAACAAAAAACCGCGTGACCTTGCGGTCTCTACCGCTATTAATAATAAACGAAGAAAAAATTTTTGTCTCTGTTCATTGTATAACAAACAAAGACTTTATAAAATACCATAACAAATGGTATTTGAGTAATATGAACAATACACGGTGTAACTAGTCTAGTATATACGAGCAATAAGCTCGTTTATTAACCACTGGAGGGTCGATCGACGAGACATTGCTGGCAGAAGGGTAAAGTTCTAGCTTATTTTCTGCTCGTTTTGTCGTTGTATTAGCTTGGTTATATATTTGCATTATTAAATAGGTATAATCAGATAAGATCTTTGCTATACAAGTTTTACAAGAGTTACATTATAATCGATATGGGTCTATGCGTCTGTGCTCGCTGGCGGAAAGGCGTTGCGTGAAACGCCTAATAAAATCTAAAAGGTCCGTGATAATACGATAATGGAGTCACGTATCCTGTGGTTTTTGTCTAATACCGGCCATACACACTACGAGAAATCGTTACGATTAGACTGTACAGTCCGAACGGAACCGATAAATCGTAGCGTGTATGTTATAAAACTGCACAGTTTCCTATACTAAACGAAATCGTATAAACTGTACCGTTCGAACTGTACAGTCTGATCGTAACGATTTCTCGTAGTGTGTATGGCGGGTATTAGGTTAATACTGACTGCATACGGGGAAAGAAAGTGTCCAAATTAAAAATCTGGTAAGATAGGCATTACATAGAATTATGTACCTACGTATGTACCTATGTTAAGAGTTAATAAGGAGACAAGTTTGAACAAATTAACATCCGCGCAACCGCCATCCACCGCGGTTCACGGCTCGTGCGTTGTTCACTTAACTGCAATAATTGCGGGTCAGATGTTATTAAATAAATAAATAATAAATATTTCCAACACTCACACCAATTAGCCTAGTCCCAAAGTAAGTACTGTAAGGCTTGTGTTATGGGATACTATGGTAACGGATAGAATACATATACAGTACATATATAAGTATATTTATATAGAATTACATATGAAACATCCATGACTGGAGTACAAATGCTCGTATTCATCACACAAACATCTGCCCCCACCGGGATTCGAACCCGGGACCTCTCGAGTCGGTGACACCATGAAGCCCGGCATACAAACCACTCGACCACGGAGGTCACGGTTATTGGCAGACATAACGGTCTACCCTCCTTAAGTCTTTTATTGCGTTCTCATGGTGTTTGCAACAGTGCCGAAATGTCAGAGACTCGCAAGGTACATGGTATCAATTTAAATAAAACAATAATTAATTTTTAAATGTTTTTAAGGTTTATTGTTCTTTTATGAAATATTACATTACTATTTGTAAATTTAAATCTAAATCTTCTAATTAGTTACATGTACCTATGATATCCGTCTGATTAAATTTGATTTTAATTTTTATTATGATCTTTATTTTTTTTTCGACGCATTCTCATACAAAACTGACAAATCATTTGTTTTGTATTGTCCTATTGAAGAATATTATAGGGACGATGACTATTTCTTTGCGACTATCAGGTAGGTCATCAAAATTATTGTTTTCTTTATTCACACATTTAAAACAGCCGTCTGCTCGTATGCCCCCTATAACATAAAAAAAAACATTACAGAGATAATTTGATTTCAAAATGTCGCATGACGACACGTCTTGGTACAATTTTTACTTAAAAGTGACGTCACAAGCCCCCTCTCAAAAACTTTGATGCGTTGGATCGTTGAATTTTTTTGGTTGATTGCTAAATTTAAAATAAGTGTCCATATTTTTGATTATCTAACCAATGGACTAAATAGAAAACATTAAACATATTTTAGAATAAGATGTCTTAATATCGTCCTAAAAATGATACTGACACTTTGATTTCCTAAAGATAAGACATAGACATCATTAGTGTTGCCGAACTATCGATATTAAAACTATCGACAGTTTACATCGAAAATCATGTACCCTATCGATAGAATCGATACAATCGATAGTATCGAAACTATCGATAGCTCAGAACAAGGTAATACTATCGAATGAGTGCAATACTATAGATACTATTGTAGTTCTTTAATAACAACCTATTGATAGTATCGATACTTTTGGTTTTATCTGCAACAATACTATCGATAGTATCGATACTAGCGATTGTTTTAGACTAAAGTTTGTGATTGACTATAATACCTGGAAATTGTAAACAATATTATTGAATGAATGTGAAACTATCGATAGTATGTTTGCAAATAAAATCGACAGTATCGATACTATCGATAGTTTGTTATTAACGAACTACAATAGTATCTATAGTATTGCACTCATTCGATAGTATTACCTTGTTCTGAGCTATCGATAGTATCGATACTATTGATAGTATTGATACTATCGATAAGCCGATCGATTGTCATACGATTGGTTGGCTATCGATAGACTATCGATTAATCATCGATAGTCGACTATCGATCGGCAACACTGATCATTAGATTCCTATTCTCCCGGCCACACAACACTTTCTATCCAGTCTATGTAACTGGATACTCTGGTGTATATAGCTGGTTGACTGCTGTCACCACATTTCTTCCCGAACGAAGTCACCCCCATGACGTAGAACAGACAATGGTTGTCTTGCGATGTCACTTGGAGCGGAGAGCCGGAATCACCCTTAAAGTAAAACATAAGTATATAGTACTAGCTGTACCAGCGAACTTCGTACCGCCATAAAAAAATAGGGGTTGGTGGTAGAAGGGTGAAAATTTAGGGATAAATAAAAAATGGATGCGTGTAACTTATGTACGCGCGTGAGAAGTTATACTTCTTTAGCATCATTAAAAATATTTTTTAATAGCATGCAAATAATTAATAATTACAATAAAATAATAAAAGGACTGGAAAAGGATAGTTAACACAGTCAATTAAGTTCAGTTTTAATTTGAAAAATTAAATAAATATTCAAAATATTCAATTAAAATCACTACTGAATTTAAGTTATTAGTCCATATGTAATTAGCACTTGTAAGTAACTAAAACACGTTGTGTCTATATAGAAACTAGAAACATGTGGATAAATATTATAAATATGAAAACAGTGATCAGAGGCGACGAGCGTGCCAACATTGTTTTTGACAACGCGATCATCTTATGGAGCTCCGTGGGTCGTTCAAAGTACCTTTCGAACAGATGTTCTAACAGAACTAAGTGGTTAATAATCCACCATTATTAGACACTAACATTCATAACGCGCCCGCGGCCAACTTCATGGTGTTACTATTGTGTTACAGTGACGCGCGCGCATCTCGAAATTTCACTCACATCATTTTTTCATAACGCGCCCGCGGCTAACTTCATTATGTTACTTTTGTGTTACAGTGATGCGCGCGCATCTTAAAATTTCACTCTCATATTTTTTTCATAACGCGGCTAAAGAGGTATAACTTCAAAAAAATGTCCAAAAAAAAAACACTTTCAAGAGTGGAACACCCTTGACATTTTGGGACTATAAACAGACTGCGAATGGGTCATGGCCAGTTTCGAGCACATCTGAGGAGAATGCATTTAGAAGACGACGACAAGTGTCGCTATTGTGATACAGGACAAATAGAAACACTTCAACATCTCATCCTGGAATGCGGAGCTTTCAGTTTACAAATACTAGTTTTGATAGATGGCTTACCTAAGACCTACAAAAACAACGATATCCCCAGTCATTTGCCATCTATCATTAGAAACCACGAGTGTTATGAAATACTATTGAGTTTATTATAAACTAGTGGCCCGCCCTCGCTTCGCTTCGATATAAAGCTGTAGTGTAGACTATAGTTTTTGTTCTCAGGCTTGTATTATACACAATGACATTCTTCTAATACCCAATTACAATAGGCACGCGCCACCAAGCCCGGTAGCGTCGGAACCGCTATGTCCCTGAATTTTAAATTTGTAATATCTTCGAAAATATTCATTTAAATTATATGCGTTAAAGGGCCAAATTGTTCTATATTAAATGCACAATGTATTTAAGGTACTTAATTGGATAAGGATGAATGTTATATTGCTTAAAATCGTTTCGTAAATAATCTATTATTTCTCGTAAAAAGTATAGGATAAAAATTGGTTATTGTGGGTTATCCTTAAGAGATAGACATATAGCATCGCGGACTTTTTTGTAGACCTTTTTAAGGTGTACAATACTGTAGTACATTATTTTGATCTATCTCGCGGGGTTCAGCCAGCGTTTGCAATGTAAGCGCAAAAAATGTGTTTATTTACGACCTTACATTAAAAACCTCTAAAATTATCAGTGTTTCTCTACTATATTATGCATGTATTATACATATAAACCTTCCTCTTGAATCACTCTATCTATTAACAAAAACCGCATCAAAATCCGTTGCGTAGTTTCAAAGATTTAAGCATACAAAGGGACATAGGGACAGAGAAAGCTACTTTGTTTTATACTATGTAGTGATACTTTCGGCAAGATAAAGATTACATACCACTAATGACTGGCCAATATGGGAAACTCCAAGGCCGTAAAAATTATATATAAAAGAAATAATGATGTTACCTGGCACGTATCCCTCCCCCCTCGCAGTTCCCCCGCACACATCTGCTCCGGCACGAATCCCTTCCAGTTTCTATTCCACGACCACTCGAGGAGGGGATCGCAGAATGTATTGTCCAACAACGAGAGAGAAACCTTTTGTAGGTCTTTAGAAGTCTCTTTTGTCACTGGAAAATAGTTGAAATGCAACTGTAAGAAATTGAGAGCCGTAGAGAATTAGAGCGCACGTTTGGGGAAGCAAACTCCACCTTACAGAAGACTATAGTAAAATTACTCTACCTTTTGGTGGGAAGTAGGGTCCAGGGCTCCGTTGTGGTGACCAAATTTTTACTATCTCGACTCGAGCTACTCCTAAGGCTTGTTAAGCAGTTGGTCCCGGCTGCATCTGCAGTCGTTAGCACCCACTCATCCACACTGGGCCCGCTCGGTAAGTCATGGCCCAATCTCCCTATTCCATCCATATGAAAGGCCTGTGCCCCAGCTGTGGGGACATAAATAGGCTTATGATGAATTTCGTAAAAACTTACACGTATCAACGACTCCCCATCCCGTAGCCACAGCCTTGTTGTTCTCTCCGAAGTCAGGTCTAGTCCACAGGCAGGCGGGTCTGATGGCATCCTCGAACTGGACGTCTGAAGCCAGCTCTAGCAACGCGATGTCATGGTATTTCGAGGGCGGCTTGTATTTTGGATGCGAAATGATATGCCTGATGGGTACCTAGTGAATGTGATTAATGCAGAAATCAGATTTTTTATGGAAAAAACAGTGTTACGAGTATACAAAGGATGTGTGTGTGTTTGGGTGTGGTTTGTGGCTTTTTTGTCAGAGGTGACAGCTGTTTATGTATTCTCTCTCTCCCGGGGTCTTTAATGACGACTTTTATTTGATTTCACTCATGAGAATCAGGCTATTAATGTAACTGAAAGGTTTTGGGGCACAGGACTTTCCTATGTTTGACATAAGGAATAAGAAGGGCTATGACCCACAACGTCCTTTTTTCACTTAATGTAGAGACTCGTAACTTTTACACGAGTGTCGGTTACTGAATGATATTATCTTTGTCTATCGACCAGTCCTCGTTGAGATCCAACTGAGCATAATGACTAATTTGGCACACATACCTAGACACAAGAGAAAGCTGCGTATAGCTACCCTTCTCGTTGCGTCTGTGTTGCTCAATAGATCACTTACGTCTACTGGATCGGCTCCGTCGTTAACACGTGCGTCTAGATTGTGCTCTCCCAGCAATCACTTTCTTTATCTCCCAGGTGTGGGGATCCGTCTATGGGCGTTATAGTTTACTCACGTCCACTAGATCTACTCCATCGTTAACTCTTCCGTTCAGGTTGTGGTCTCCCAGCAATGAACTTCTTTGTCTCCCGGGTGCGGGTATCAGCCTTCTTCTTCATAGTTCATCACCAGCCTATTAATGTCCCCACTGCTGGGGCACAGGCCTTCCCTATGGATGGAATAAGGAGATTGGGAATTGACCCACCACGCGGGCCCAGTGCGGATTGGCGGGTGCTAACGACTACAAATACAACCGGGACCAACGACTTAACGTGCCTTCCGAAGCACGGAGGAACTTGAGATAGAAAATTTTTGGTCACCCATCCTAATGACCGACCACTGCGAAAGTTGCTTAATTTCAAACGATCGCAGTCGAACGCGCAGGTAGTTAACATGCGCCGTCGAGATCCTTCATAGTTTACACACATCTATTACTTAGGCACCGTCGTTAACTTCTGCCTTCAGGTTCCCCCAGACGCGCAGCCCATTTTGTAAGACAGACTGTCTATACACGTCTACGAGATCAGTCTATGAACTTTATAGTTTATTAACATATCATGGATTAGCTCCGTTGTCGACGCTGGGGTCTAGGTTGAGTTCGTCTGTGTACCTATTGTACTTTTTCTCTCTCTTCTCATTGTTGTGTTATCGATTTCGTATGAGTGAAAGACTTACGTTTACTGGATCAGCTCCATCGCGTTCAGGTTTTGCTCTCAAGTTTTGCAATTAACAATAAAGCTTAATATACGAGTAAATTATTAATATTAAATTTTCGAATAGTTTGCGAGCACTCTTAGTTTTTTATATTATTGTATTGTGAAATCCTTGTGAATATCGAGTGGGGGGGAAAATGTATAAACATTAGCCAATCCTTGTGAACTATTAATTCCTTTGCCTACATGTTTCCTTCCTATAATTAAAAACAAAAAATGGTGCGCGCGACGGTGGCGCCGCAACCGGTAAACTCAAAGACACTTCGATCTGGTGCTTAAGAGAAGAACGGTTAACGGCCGCCTGAGCCTTACGTTGTTAGTAAAAAAGTGTATTCATTAAATCGTTCCTGGAAGCTTACGTCTGTGGATTTTAGTGGTTGTGATCAACTCCTGTGAATGTTTTGTGAAGAATCAAAAGGACTACGCTATTAAAGGTGGAATTGCCAGCCGGCACTCCTACCTGCCTCATCCTGAGACCAGGTTAGTTTATATAGATTCCTACTACGTGCATTGTTCATTGAGGAGCTCGATGGCGCAGGTGGCTAGCGCGTTCGGCTGCGATCGTTGAAGTTAAGCAACTTTCGCAGTGGTCGGTCATTGGATCGGTGACCAAAAATTTACTATCTCGAGCTCCTCCGTGCTTCGGAAGGCACATTAAGCCGTTGGTCCCGGCTGCATTTGCAGTCGTTAGCACCCACCAATCCGCATTGGGCCCGCGTGGTGGGTCATGGCCCAATCTCCCTATTCCATCCATATGGAAGGCCTGTGCCCCAGCAGTGGGGACATTAATAGGCTGATGATGATGATGATGACGTGCATTGTTCGCGGGGGTTTCACAATCGACTCACTGATAAAATTAGCTTCTCCAGGAAGCCTATCCAACCACTTTGTTTCGTAGGCGTGGGGATTAATCTATGGGTTTTTTAATTTACTCACGTCCACCGGGTCAGCTCCGTCGTTAACGTTAGCGTCCAGGTTTTGCTCTCCCAGCCGCGCGGCGACGGGCTCGGGCGTGTATGCGCGCGGGTCGTTAGTGCAATGTCCGGCAGTCAACACATACTTGGAGCTGATGAGACTGCCGCCGCATTTGAAATCGTAGCCACCTTCGGAGTTAGCCCAGCCTATGGCTGCCTGTTAATAAGAATACAAATCCGGCTTATAAAAAGTGGAAAATAAAAAAATAGCCTTCCTCAGTTGTGAATCGAATTCGGGCTCCTCGCGTGGCAGGCGAGTTTTTCACCACTAAACCACCGATGCTTGTTCATAAGGTCTGAATTTTTCAATAGTAACAATTAAAAATGTAATGTACATGTTAAAGATGAACTTAAAAAATTGTCGCGATGTAATAATACGTTCGTGTATTCCTATACGAACAAAGGAATTCAGTGACTCATTTCTTTGTCGTACTATTCGCAAGTGGAATTCTTTGCCCGCGCACGTATTCCCCCCTTTCTACAATCTGGGTTGCTTTAAGGGAAGCGTGAAGAAGCAATTCTGCAGGCCGGCAAGGTGAGAATGGTTGATGTGGCACTTTATTAATGCTGCACCAGCTAGCTTCTAGTCTGGACTTTTAACACCACTTAAAATCAGGAGGGGTAGAGTAATTTGCCTACCTAGCTATGTAATATAAAAGTTGAATTTAAAAACTCACCATATGGGGAAATTCTCCCCTATTCGCGTCCTCTCCTCCTATAATCAGCTCGACGCCTGTGTATTGGCACTTGCTGGCGACCACAGACACTCCTTCGTCGTTGACTAGTAGGGCAGACACGTCCACCTTCTGCACAACGCTCCTGCTGTATGCGTCGCATTCTATAATTTAACAGACAACGAGAGGATTTTATTTCCTCACCATAGAGAACCTCCAGAATGGACTCTAAGGGCTATATTTCACCGGGATACCGTGGCGGTGCAACCAGACACGCCACCGTGGTGCCCGTAAGCTACCAAACTAGTCACCATACAGCAGACACCAGAGTTGAAACACCAAACTGAGACAGTATCAAAATGGACCTCAAAGAGATAGCTCTACGGCTGTATACGTAGGAAAACAGAGTTCAAGAGAAAAAAGCAATTAAGGTGATTGCATAATGAGTGGGATACTATACAGCGCTATAGTAATTAGTGGTGGCGCGATTAGTAATATTCTGAGCATGCGTCCGAGCTGGTTGCGCCGCCAAATTGGTTGCGCAACCAAACGGACACCAGGTGAGTAACTCTAAGAGCTGTATACATTATGTTGGTAGCAGCGACTGGGTGTCTCGGTAAAATATAGCCCTTAAAGCCTGCGCTATCATAAGCGAGAGCACGGAGCGGACGTCTATTGGAGAAACCCGCTCCGTGGTGAGTCGCGGATAAATTAAATCCATCGCGGGACCCGCGACGGACTCCCGTAACGAAAGTGTTCCTGGGAGCCGACGGTCTGGTGCGGATCGCCGACGTTTTAGCTAAGGGGGGAGTTTTGCACTGTCTTGTCCGTAATTTCACTAGATTCTGATAACCACCTTTCCTCAGACAGTTAGTGTACGACTGGGGGCGGATAATGTTGGAAACTGCTTGGACATTAACATTAAAGGGAGCCTCTCATATCACAGCGCAGCCAGTACAATCTCGATTGCGCGGGTGAATAGACTTTAATGGATTATTTTTCTTGATAATATGTAATGCCTAGCTAAAAGAGGGCCTAGACAAAAGCACCGAAGATAGCCAATCGAGCGTACCCCGTCGCCCGCACCGCGTGCGATGGAAACCCGCTTCGCGCAATGCTGCTCTATGAAATAACATGAAACTGCACGCGGAGCGGACGTCCCACTCCGTGCTTAACGCAGCGCATGGCCTAATGCTTCATAAGAGCGGCTCGCAGCCGATACTTACGGCAGAGGTCGATGCCTGCCGTCGACGAGTTGACGGCTGCCGGCGAATGTTTTAAACAGTTGTGGTGGCGACATCTATATGCCCCATATATAACTAACATGAAGGAAATAATCACTCGCCTCGACAAGAGATGGCCGCTACCTGTGCTGCGATCACAATAGTATGGAAGCCTACATCGCGCAAGTGAAATTCGGTAGCTAACACTCGATATATACAATGCCCGACTAACATCAGTCGGGCCGCGGCCCTCGAGCTTTCATCATCCAGCTCGGAGGAAGATCTTCCCCTTTGGCCTTCCTACACTGGTTCACTTGCTTGATGTAGGCTTCCATACTATTGTGATCGCAGCGCAGGTAGCGGCCATCTCTTGTGTAGGCGAATGATTATTTCCTTCATGTTAGTGATATGTGGGGCATGTAGATGTCGCCGCCACACAGTCACAACAAGTATTCTACAAATTTTGTGTGAAACTAGTATAAGCTTGAATCTTGGTGTAAACGAGGGTTTAGCAAATATATATTTTTCACACTTACTTCTTTCGCTTACTCTACGTTTGTCATTTTCGTATGTCCAAAGTGGGCTGGGACTGTAAAAGAAGTCATTATGTAGTAAAATCACAATTTACTAACATTAAAAAAATTAAAAGCACTATCTCATCACTATCAGCCAATTTGATTCCTGACCAGTGTTGCCAGGTCCGATTTGTTTTAAATCGGTACATGAGGTCAAAAAAATCGGGATTTAGGGTTGCATATCGGGACAGTAAACAAAAAACAAGGGGTTTTTAAGTCTGGGCTTAATTAATTGCGTGCAAGTATAGCATTATAATAATTACGTAATTTTATTTTTTTGAAGTTATACTTCTTTAGGCGCGTTATGAAAAAATGATGAGAGTGAAATTTTAAGATGCGCGCGCATCACTGTAACACAAAATTTTAACAGCATGAAGTTGGACCAACTTCATGCGTTACTTTTGTGTTTACCGCACATTAAGAAAATCTACCAACAAAATAGAAATAGAATCTCTATTTAGTGGGTGCTAACGACTGCATTGTGAAGGCCTATCAAAAGTATTTATTAATCTGGAACAACAGAACCAAAGCGCGATTCAGGAGACTACAGCGCCATCTCTTGACCATTGGTGTAGTAGAATCAAAAACCACATCTTTATTTTTTGTAATAAAGTAACAGTTATAGGTATTCATATTTATAATATCAAAAGTATTTATTAATCTGGAACAACGGAACCAAAGCGCGATTCAGGAGACTACAGCGCCATCTCTTGACCATTGGTGTAGTAGAACCAAAAACCACATCTTTATTTTTTGTAATAAAGTAACAGTTATAGGTATTCATATTTATAATATTTATCCACATGTTTCTAGTTTGTATATTCGGAATACGTGTTTGAGTTTCATACAAGTGCAAATCACATATATGTTCTAATAAATTATATTCAGTAGCGATTTTAATTGAATATTTTGATTATTTATTTATTTTTTCAAATTAAAACTGAACTTTATTGACTGTGTCGTTTTCCAGACTTTTTATTAATTTATTGTAATTAATTATTTGCATGCAATTAAAAACTAATTTTAAACGATGCCAAAGAAGGATAACTTCTCACGCGCCTACATAAGTACACGCACCCATTTTTTGTTTAATCGGGACATTTAGCATCCCGATCAGGTACAAATCGGAACGTCCCACGCAAATTGGGACACTTTGCCATAGTTTTATTTCTGTGGGTGCAGTGATAAAGGCTTTTTTCTTCAAAATGATCCATCTATAATATATTGGCAACCACTGGAGCCACGGGACTGCCAATTGCGACCCCATCTATTTGGAGGTAGTACTGTAACACCATTGCAAAATAACAATGTGGACTTTCGCTTAAGAGTAGGTACTAGCAAACCAGTGAACCAAATGTTCACAAAAAAAAAGTATTTAATTAATTGAGAACTTCGGAGATTTTGTGTGGTTTCGTTTGAAATAGAAATCACGTGATTTCTAGAAAACCGGAAGTGCTACGTTACTCCCATCCGGTTTGTAGTCTTATCAGACTATTCTCAACTTATAACTTAAACATTCTCTTTATCTATCTCTTACGGTTTGGCCGCTGAAACAGCACCACGGACGGACGGACGGACTTGTCTATTAGATAAGGGATACCGGGAAACAAATTTGTTGTTTTCAGAACAATCATAATTGACATGTTAGATTTTGCCGCCACCCTGTGACATAATGTTGAGGTAACATTGTATAGAGTTTTGACCATAGACTTAGTATTCCCTTAAAGTTTCTCAAGAAATCGAAAGAGTTTGAATGAGAGCGTTATATTTACGATTTTGTCAGTTTTTGCGAAATTCAAACTCCAATTAGAATTTTATCTAAATAGATGATCTATTGTTTTGAGAGTAAGGATTTTTTCAAAGATTTTGTACACCATTAATATAGTATTGTTGTTATCAGAAGGGCCTAAGTGCAATTACGTATTCTTTTCATTAGAAAAATAAATATGTTTTCACATTTTGACGACCTCCGTGGCTGAGTGGTTTATACGCCGGGTTTCATGGTGTCGCCGACTGGAGAGATCCCGGGTTCGAATCCCAGTAAGGGCAGATATTTGTGTGATGAATATGAGCATTTGTACTCCAGTCATGGATGTTTAATATGTATTTCTATATAAATTTACTTATTTATGTACAATATATGTATTCTATCCGTTACCCTAGTATCCCATAAAACAAGCCATGCATTGCTTTCTTCGGGGCTAGGTTAATTGGTGTGAGTGTGGAAATATTTATTTATTTATTTTATTTTAAGCGAATTATCGGGCAAGTGGGTCAGGAATCAATCGTGCGATAGTGTATTGTTGATGCGTATTCTTACTCAGCGGATCGTGGTTTTGATGTTTGCAATATTGTCTTGCCGTCCTTACAACACACCAAGGACTCGCCAAAGGCATTGTATCGACAAAAAGTAGGTTTGAGGCCGGCCTTTCTGAAACGAAACGTAAAATAAGCAAAAAATTTACAAAATGTTTATATTAAGCATTTGACATGTAATTTTTTTAAAAAGAGTGGCAAACGAGCGATTGGCCCGCCTGGTGGTAAGCCACAATTCCAACGCGTACAAAGAAATTCGGTGACACATTTCTTTGTCGCACTATCCGTAAATGGAATGCTTTGCGCGTTCACGTGTTCCCTCCTTCTTACAACCTGGGATCCTTTAAAAGAGGTGTGAGGAAGCAACATGCAGGCCGGCAAGGTGAGGATGGCTGGTGTGGCAGGCAGAACTGCTGTACCAGTTATCTTCACGTCTGGACTTCACTTAACATCAGGTGCGGTGGAGTCATTTGTCGGATCTATCCACCTTTAAAAAAAGGCCACCATAGCCTAATAGACGCCTACTCTGACCCCATTTTCTACCCCGCAGAGGCCTTTTTTTTTGACGATGGAAAATCCATTTACGGACCATACCGCGCGCTGGCTAGGGTCCTACCCACTAAAAACCACCGGTACGCTCCTACGCCCTACGGAGCGTCTCAGGATCGGCGATCAGGTCACAACAGTAACGCCATCTATCGATGACTTTGATAATTAAATAATATTACTACAAACCTAACCCCGCAGAGCCCTATTTTTTGTTTTTTTTTGTGTCTGGGAAATGCTTTACGCATCCTTCAACCACTGGGGGAGCGAGAAGAAGGTATGTGGGACTTCTCCCTGTTTATTTCAGCCAACTCTGTGGTCGGGTGAAATAAACAGGGCCCTAGCTCCCCCGATAGTACTTAACACAACACCACTTTAAATCACAAAAAGATAATTTTATTTTACTATGATGTTCGACCAATTCGAGCGGAAAATCTGCTAAGACCTACCTCTCTCTAACATAACGAAAATAAAATATGGGCCTTGTAGACACCACAGTAATCTAAGGGATTGATTTAGATTCTAAGCTTCAATGGGCCCCACATATGGATAAATTGTCAAATAGACTTAGCTCTGCAACATATGCCGTAATGAAGATACGCCAGTTAACGGATGTAGATACGGCCTGATTAGTGTAAGTACTTTAGTTATTTCCATAGTATAATGTCGTACGGAATTTTACTGAGGGGAAATCCCGCCGACATTCAAACTATTTTGGTACTGCAGAAGAATTAATAATGTTAAATTAAAATAATCCTTATGAGATAAGTTTAAAGAAATTGGCATAATGGCGGTCGCATTACAATACGTACTTATACTATTATTTATTACTTGTAGCAAAAAAAAAATAACTTGTTTCTTAAAAACAGTGATGTTAACACACTTTATACAAGAAATAAAAATAAACTAACTTTACCTGCTACTAGGGTTCACAAAATCAATAATTCTTTTAAAGGTCTTTGTGTTCGCTTATACAATAAAGTCCCAAGCAACATCCAAGAGTCAACCATAAATAAATTTAAAGATACTATAAAAAAACCGGCCAAATGCGTGTCGTGCCAGGGTTCCGTAGTTTCCTGTAGTTACCACAATATATTTGAGAAGGCGTCTTTATTTTCTATATCGGAAATCAGAAAAACCGTTTATTATCAATCTATGTAACTCAACTAAAATTCCTAAATCAAACTCAAACTGCGTCAACATATCCAACAGGTTTTCTTCATGAAATAAATCATGATTGTATTGACGTTGTAACAGCATAATGATTTGTAAATGTTGTTACATTATACTTTTAATGTTGTGGAGTTTTTTTCGCTCGTTTTTCTCCGGAGCTAAAAAATATGTCCAATAACGAGTGGCACGGAAATTTTTTTTGGGACGATTCAAAACAGTTGTATTTTAAGACATCCAATTTGAATAAATATATATTGATTGCTGATTGATGATATATACATAAGTAGGTACTTAATACATTGGCCGGGGAATTCCCAGTGAAGTGGCGCACGCTAAGGTGCGTCGATCCTGAGACGCCCCCATATGGGCGTAGTAGGGTACCGGGGGGTTTTAGTGGAGTAGGATCAGTGTGGCCTTCCGCACTGGTCCTGCTTGAGTAGGGTCGGCACTGTTTCCCGTGCCGGCGAGTCCCACACACGCCGTGCGCCTAGTCAGCGTCACGGTATGGTGCGTAACTGCATTTCCCCTCGTCACAAAAAAAAAAGGTACTTAATACATAATATAATTACGTGTATGCGACCTACTCATAAATTAACTTGGCTGATTGACATGAATCAAGGGGAGTGCAAGTGCCCAATGACCCCGTGTATTCTTCTACGCAACTGTCTCCTTCTACATCAGTCTCTGCAAGGAAAAAAATATTTAATTAATTACTTTCACACACATCCTTTTAATTTTAAATTTAAAAACACAGATAACTGCAGATTAGCGAGACTTCGTGGTAGATTGATGTTGCCCAATATGCGTAATCAATATTACAATAAAAACTGCTATCCGAATTGTATAAAAATCTATAATAAGTTACCACGCTTGATAACGGAGCTTAGTTTGGCTATATTTAAAAGGAAGCTTAAAATGTGGCTAATAATGAAATGTTTTTACTCGGTTAGAGAATATTTAGAAACTAAAATTGACTTAGAATAGAATAAGTAAAATGACATAAGTACCTTTAAATTTTAGAATTGAATTAAGTTTGACATTCACATGCCCTGTCGTTGGCAAAATGGACGAACTAAATGAAAATCACCACCAAAATGTATGTACTCTGTTTTGTGTGAATAAATAAATTTCATTTCATTTCAAATAAATTTCATTTCATATATTTCGGTTCTGTAAGGCAGTATAGGCGAGGCATTGCGGGTGTGCGGGCAGTCTTCACAGGTTACCGCAACACCACCCGTACTAGCGGTATGCATTGCTTGGACCGCGGTCCTAGCAATGCAGATCGGGTGACACGGTGCAGGGATATTGTCTGGGTTTTAGTGGCCCTGTTCAGGGCGTACTTTAACTGGCCTCAGGGCTAGCTGAAGTGGACAGGGAGATCCTACATACCCTCTACTCGCTGGGGGACCAGTGGTTGAAGGATGCGTAAGGCATTTCCCAGACAAAAAAAAAGATAGGCGAGGCTGTGGCCTGGCCCTAAAGACTAAATTAACGCCTTCCCTTAAAACATTTTTGGAGAGATTCCAAGGAAGATTTGACGGGAAGGTGAGATAGTAATCTGACAACTGTAATGTTTGTTTTTGAGCAGGGCGTGACACTGACACCCATATTATATAATTTGTTATGAATGTCTAGTATTGTGATACAACTCCATTTTTATGATGTTATAATGATTTGTTCACAGAGAAGGAAGTGATTTATATTAGCTATAACTTAAAAACTACTGTATTTACCTGATAAGCTTTTGGAATGCTTAAAATTTAGATTAAGCCATTTTTTTATGATATCAGTGAGTACATTATAATTATAACATTATCTTTTTTTTTTTGAAGTTATACTTCTTTAGGCGCGTTATGAAAAAATTATGAGAGTGAAATTTTAAGATGCGTGCGCATCACTGTAACACAAAATATTACTTACTTTTGTGTTTACCGCACATTAAGAAAATCTACCAACAAAATAGAAATAGAATCTCTATTTAGTGGGTGCTAACGACTGCATTGTGAAGGCCTATCAAAAGTATTTATTAATCTTCAATTGTCATGCTTTATATGAAACGACAACGAGAATTTTTGTTCGGTTTTCATTGCGGTAATTAACTATGTCAGACGAGACGTGATGGTTCTTTCTCAGTCATAGTTACGGGATGTACTCTCCATTTGCCCGCCGACTCCCGATCGAGTGCATGCTCATGCGCTCCGCGGGAATAAAATTGCATGTGTACTCTCCAGTATTCTAAAAACCGCCCAAGTGCATGTCGTGCCTCGCGCAGTTTAGGGTTAAATAGTTGCATGTAGTTACCACAATATTTTTGAGCAGGAGTCTTTATTTTCTATATCGAAAATGTCAATCTGTGTGTCTCAATTAAAATACCTAAATCAAAGTCAAACTGCTGCTCAAACTCAAAATCAATTCGATATTAATTTGTTTTTAATTACGAATGATAACCGCCGATTTTTAGGGTTCCGTGAACCCTTATAATTACGTCATGTCTGTCTGTCCGTCCCCAGTTTTGCTTGGAGACTGTTAGCACTACAGAGCTGTAATTTTGTGGAGATATGTATATCGATCACGTCGACAAAATTTTAGAATAAAATTTAGATTTCTTTTTAAGGTAGCTCCCCTACCCTACGTGTAACCTAGGGATGATTTTTGTTTTCATCATTTACCCCATCGCTGAATAGGTCCTTTAAAATTACTTAGGGTTCTTAGACTAGTTTTCGATTTAGGGATCCGTTTGCGAAATAATAAACTTTAACGTGCTAATTTTTGTTCCAGCAAGTATAGATGACATTGCAAGTTTGCGCAGCTTTGTAATCTAAAGTTTGCTTTCGTGTGATTATTTGACTCCGCGGTGTGCGGAATATAGGCGCACCGTCTGCACGGTTTCCGCAAGAGCATCCGCGCTTCCACGCGGCATCGCTCCTCCGCCATCCGCCGCGATTCGCGGCTCGTGCGTTGTGCACCTTAAGAACTGGAAACTCGGATTGGGAGCGTATGTCAAAGTGTCGATTCTGGCGTGATTCTGTAAACTTTTTTTTTCTACGTGGCTTCGCACGGCTTGTGCATTTAGCCAATGTCAAGTATTAAAATGTTTACAAATTCTATAGCACTCGTGGTCAAAGTCAAAGTTAGTGGCAGTCAAGTCAAACCCCCTTTCCCTATGTTTCAGTAAATGTGTGGGGATTTACTGGAACTCCCCCGTGGACTTCTTGAGGGAACGTCGAAAGACACTTTCCGCTATTTTGTTTCACTTGCCAACACTTGTGCATGTTCCCGAACACTAAGTGGTTAATAATCCACCATTATTAGACACTAACATCTGCCACAACACAATTGTTAACAAGAGAAACAAAACTGCTACGTTACGCGTAAGTGACGCTGCCCGATCTCGCCAAAAAGTCCTTCTCTAAACTTAAAACTAAATTAAACATCAGTCTCTTATTTTCTTGCTGTATAGAGAATGACAAGGATACACTGTTGTCAAATTTAAGTTTATTTTGGAGAATCATACCAGAGTCGACACCCTAGTTACAACAATGTATAAGCCGCGCCAATAAAGAAACGAATCAAAAATGGCGTCTATGTACAGTACCTGCACTGACAGATGCTAGGGTCAACAAATAAAGCGGCGGTCGAGGTGCGGCTGAAGCCTAGGGCGGAGGAACTAGGCCTCACCCACGCCAATGTTGTCGAGATGGCGCGGACGGCCATTGAACTGCCGTCCGTAGGGATAGAGCAGGGCCTGGTGATCAAAACCAGCCAGACGGGGTCTAGGCTCCTGGTGGTCCCAGGCCCGGACAGTAGGGTGAAGGCGGACGCTCTGGCAAAGCGTATGGGAGAGGTGGTCCAGGAGTACGCCGAGGTTCTCAGGCCTGAGAAGACTGAGGACCTACGACTGTCGGGGCTGGACGAATCCCTCACCCTGAGTGAGGTAAGGGAGGCAGTGGCCAGGAAGGGGGGTTGTTCCCCCAGCGAGGTGACGGCGGGGGTAGTGTACCCGGGACCGGAAGGAAAGCGGGGCACAATTGTGAGGTGTCCCGCATGGGCCGCCAAAAAAGTGGTGGAAGGGGGGAGAATCAGGGTGGGCTGGAGCCTGGCTCACGTGAAGGCCCTCAGCCGGCGTACACATTATTACCGATGTATGGGGAAAGGGCACGTGGCCGCAAGGTACCCGTCGGGAGAAGACCGGAGCACACTTTGTTTCAAGTGTGGGAAAGCGGGGCATAGGGCGGCGGGATGCGCTGCCCAGCCCCGCTGCGCCGTGTGTGCGGAGAGTGGCAGACCGGCGGACCACGTCATGGGGAGGGGGAAATGCGACCCGCCGGTAACAAAGGGGAAGCCCCCCGAAAGAATTACCTCTGAGGCGTCGGCGCCCGTACGGGTGCCCTCAGAGGGGGGGATGTCCGAGTAGTCTCGGCCGCTCGGACCCCCCGCGGATGGTGTCGCCCGCGCTTCCCCCGTCTTCTCCCAGGAGAAGATCCGGGGAGACGTAGGCGACCGGGAGGGGGGAGAGGGACTGGAAGAACTCCGCTTCCCCTCCCGGTCCTCCCTCCCAGGAACGGCGGCCCTCCTCATGTGGTTCTGTCCACAAGGGGAGGGTGGCGGAGAGCGTTAGCTTTCCGCAGCGGACGGGGGGCGGTATGGTGGGCGTACCCAGCCCCCACGCGCGGGCCTACCTGCGCACGTCTGCGGGGTCCCCGAAATACCGCGGGAGACCCCTGCCGTGGAGCCCCGGCGACGCCGGGAAGCTGCTAGGTGCGGGGACGCGAAGAAGTCCCACCAGTGGGGATCCCGCGGCACCGCATCAGGCAGTAGTGAAGGTATTCGCAGGACTTTTTTAGCGGAGGGTCAACAAATAAAAAGAAAGATAGAAAGAAAAAGTTGTTTATTAGGTAATGTCGAGACAGTGCGAGAACAAAGTCAGAACTGATATTTTTTTTTGCATGCTGTACGTGCCGTGTGCGACTAAAGACAGCAATAGTTTAGAGTGAGAGCGCGTGATCGCCGCCGCCATTTTAGATTCGTTTCTTTATTGGCGCGGCTTATATCGAAAGAGAGATAAAAAACTTACTCCGTGCATTTCCTCTCCTGTTGAGTACCAAAGTTCTAAGTGGGTTTGGACTTGGTCTAAAAACAAAAGAAAAAATATTACACTTATAAGTATGTTATTATATTACATGCTCGTTCGTTATTTTTGGAAAACGGGGAATGTTCTTAGGTATTTACAGTCACAAATTGATAAGAACTTATTTTCAAGAATTTAGTACCTATTCCTTAGAAATATTAGTTATAGTCTATCTATTATCTACATTCTACATTATTCTACCGTAATCTATCTTATTCTACCCCCACGTACCTTACTGTACCCTAATGTACCTTATTCCCCTGGCAGTATACCTAGCAGGCTCGTGTCGAAAATGGCTGCCGTCTTTACCATGACTTCACCACTTTTTATGTTAATCGTTCGTTATTTTTGCATAACGGGGAAAGTGCTTAGGTATTTAAAGTTAAAAATCGATAAGAACTTATTTTCAAGAATGTAGTACCTACCTATTCTTTAACTATTTAGTTATAGTCCATCTATTATCTATATTCTACATTATTCTACCGTAATCTATCTTACTCTATCCCCACGTACCTTACTGTACCCCAATCTACCTTATTTCCCTGGCAGTATACCTTGCAGCCTCGGGTCGAAAATGGCTGCCATGTTTACCATGACTTCAACACTTTTTATGTTAATCACGTAACCATAATTTGCGTTTACCCACAAGAGCACCTTGAGAAATCTACCTTGTTCTACCCTACCTTACTATGCGCCCTAACGCCTTAACGCCCTTACTTTATCCTATTCTTTCCTACTCTATCTTATATTACCTAACTGTATCCTATTCTACCCTATCATATACTCACTCAGGTTCAGGTGGTCTCGGCTTAGGTACTTGAACGACTGCTTTCTGCCCGCCTTTACAGCACACTAGCGATGAACCAAACGCACTGTAGCGGCAAAATGTAGGCGTGATACGGTTGTTACTGTAAGATAAATAAATAAATAAATATTTCTAACACTCACACCAATTAGCCTAGCCCCAAAGTAAACACTGCAAGGCTTTTTGTATTGGGATGCTAGGGTAACAGATAGAATACATATACTGTACATATGTCAGTATATTTATATAGAAATACACAGTTAAACATCCATGACTGGAGTACAAATGCTCGGATTCATCACACAAACATATACCGCCACTAACCCGGGACCGCTCGAGTCGGCGACACCATGAAACCTGGCGTGCAAACCACTCGGCCACGGAGGCCGTCAAAAGACAACAGAAAGCAAAATAGTCTTATGCATATGTGTTACCGACATTTTTTTGATAGATTTAGTTTTTTGAAGCAGACCTGAAAAGGCTGCGAAACGTCAATAAATAAATAAAGTTTCGTGCATTAACCCGTTAAAACTAGTTTTATTTAAGTGTTTTCCTGTCTTCGATATCAAGAAATAGCAATTCAATGTACTGAGTTGACAAGGGCTCGTGCATAGTGTAAACCCAAGTTCCCAAAAGCCCAAGAACAGTTTTAATTAGCCAGTGATTCTTTTAGTAATCTTACTGAGGCGAGTCGCGTTTTCGCAAAAGTCCTATCTTTTTTCAATAAGCTTGAAAAATGTCATCACCATTGTCTAATTATCCGCGTTTTCGCAAAAGGATTTTCGCGAATATTAGTTTTACTCATCATCATCAAATCATCCTTCGACATGATAAATGTCCGAGAATAAAAAATATTGTACATATTGAACGAATTTGGATGAAATTAGGTACGCATATAGTGTATGACCTGGATTGAGACATAGGCTACTTTTTATCTCAGAATTAGATTCCTGTGGGATTCTCATAAAACTAAGTTAACGCGAACGATGTCGCGGGCGGCCACTAGTCAAAAAATAATAGAAACTTATTTTTCTTTTGTCAATCAATCAAAAAATTACAAAGGATAACCGCGACAAAGTTTGGGAGTGGGGCTTGTGACGTCACCTGTACCCTTCATCATCATCAGCCTATTAATGTCCCCACTGCTTGGGCCTTCCCTATGGATGGAATAGGGAGATTGGGCCATGACCCACCACGCGGGTCCAGTGCGGATTGGCGGGTGCTAACGACTGCAGATGCAGCCGGGACCAACTGCTTAACGTGCCTTCCGAAGCACGGAGGAGTTCGAGATAGTGAATTTTCGGTCACCCATCCAATGACCGACTACTGCGAAAGTTGCTTAACTTCAACGATCGCAGCCGAACGCGCTAAACACTTGCGCCATCGAGCTCCTCTGTACCCTTAGCACGAACCAATTCGAATAGAACGTCCGAATATAGCGCTGCTGTTCAAATTTCCATACAAAATTTGACTATGAAATTTTGCACTAGCATGTTGTCAAATTATGTATGGAAATTTGAAAGTAACGAGAACTAAAAATCAGTACATATTTGACAATGACATTTCGCACTCGCAAGCTATTCGAATTCGATAATGGTTCGTGCGTACTGTAAGTAAAAATTGTACAAAGACGTGTCGTTATGCGATATTTCAAATCAATATAATCACTTTTATGTTTTGATTATGTCAATAAATAAAAAATACGTGTCCAATACTTTTTGATAATCTACCTTACAGACGAAGAAAAGCGTTTAAATTAAACTAGCAAACCAGTGAACCAAATGTTCACCAAAACCTGATTTAAAAAAAAAATGTATTTAATTAATTGAGAACTTCGGAGATTTTGTGTGGTTTCGTTTGAAATTCGTGATTTCTCGAAAACCGGAAGTGCTACGTTACTCAAATCCGGTTTGTAGTCTTATCAGACTATTCTTAACTTATAACTTAAATATTCTCTTTATCTATCTCTTACGGTTTGGCCGCTGAAACAGCACCACAGACAGACAGACGGACGGACTTGTCTAATAGATAAGAGATAATCACTGTAGCTTTTGTGTTATACGGGCCCGACGTTTATTGTTAACGCCATCTATCGTAAGCTTATGAAAACACATATTCCTTCTCCCTGCCCCTAAACTCACCTGTTGTCAACTTCATCCGCGGCGCTGCTAGCAGTGTCACTTCGAACGAGCGGACGAGAGAAAAAACAAGGGTCATGTGTGCTCTGATCGTCGCGAGAGGAGATACAAGGAGAAAACTCCTGCTGCAAACTGCGCAAGAAATCGCGCTCCGGAGACGCTTCTCGCATATACTTAAATATTTCCGGGTAAAACTGTACTTCCAGGGCCCAAAAGGTGATACTTGTTTTTTTTTGTAGAAAAGGTCTTTTTTACAGTTTTTTTTTTCTGGCGCTTTGCTCGCTCGGCTCCCGCGTTATGGTCAAAACACTAACCTAACCTAACCTAGTGTGAAGTATCACCACTTGATAAGAAAAGTAAAAATTTTCAATATTTTTTTCTAAAAAACTACCAGTGCGACATTTTTTTTAATAATGTGGTTAACAGAAACCTTTTTAACAACAAAAATGAGAAATTACAACCAACAAATCTGTGAAGTTTTTACTTTTGGGCCCTGGAAGTACAGTATATCCTATTTCCGCCCCGGGGCCCGCGAACATTAGTACAAAAAAAAGGGGGGGTGATACAGGCGAACGTTTCTCCAGGACAGGAAGAACATGCATCAAAAGGAACCAGCACACAAACCAACAGGTTCCCTCTAAATTTTTGTGTTTTTCTTCTTGTACATAATCGCTCATCCGCGCCGGGATTTTGGCGTAACCAGTACCCTTAGTACGAGTTTTCCAATTACGAAAACTATGATAGTTTTCGTGAGCTCGCACACATACTAAGGGTACTGATTTTATTGTTTTCGTTTAAATCATTTGCGTCTTCTTAAATTTTACGTATATTGGTTTATTTTTCACCAAAATGGACAAAGAAACATAATTTACGATTACGAAAACTATGATGGTTTTCGTGAGCTCAAACTCGTACTAAGGGTACAGGTATAATGTAATGACTTACTGATAGTTCACCCTGGCTGATTCACAGTTCTCGAGCGTAGTACAGGTACCGAGTATACCAGTATACTCTATCTCACAACTGTCCCCTTCTGCAATTCAAAGAACTTGGTAAAAATCTAAACAAAATATTACTAAAGAAAAGTTTTACTAGAAAAAAATCCACGCGGACCAGGCAGCGGACGGGACGCGAACCCGCACCCTTCGCAATCAGGTCGAATGCACTTTCTTGGAAATGCAATTTCTTTAGATTTAAACATCTAGAAGTTAAATGCTTAAAAAAAACAACTATTATTGCTATTTCTCCTTTCAGATGTTTAATACTTGAAAAAGTATTCATTTGACATTGTGGGTTACCTATAATTAAGGCTGCCATCCGTCCGGGTTTCCCCGGATTTGTCCTAGTTTACGGGGCGTCCGGGGAGCGTCCGGGCGGGGTTTTATTTGTAGTCCGGCTTTAAAAATTTACGGCAGTGCATGAGTGGCCCTTGGTGCTGCAAGTGTCCATGGGCAGCACTTATTATGAGGTAGACCGCTAGCTCTTTTGCCTAGATCAACATAAAAAAGTTGATTTGTGACATTATTAACTGTTTTTTTATTGGTCTGTCCGGGTTCTGGGCTTCAAAATCCGGGGTTATCACTCGTCTTATCCTGGTTGCCACATTTTAGAGATGGCAGCCCTACCTATAATGCGAAGAGATGGCGCTGCCTCGCAGCTCACCTATCAAGGCTAGGAAAATACCGACGCGGCCATCAGGGCCGTGGTAGCATAATTGGTCAGTGCATTCGCCCTGATTGCGGGTTCGAGTTCCGTCCGCTGCCTGGCCCGCGTGGTTTTTTTTCTAGTAAAACTTTTCTTTAGATTTAAACATCTAGCAGTTAAATGCTTAAAAAAAACATAAAAATATTACTAGAAAAAAATCCTCTCGGTCGAGGTTTCAGACGGGATTCGAGCCCGTACCTTCCGCTATTCGGGCGTACAGACTAACCTGTACCAACTGGATTTTTTTCTAGTAATATTTTCCTGAGGAGCTGAATGGCACGAGTGGTTAGCGCGTTCGGCTGTGATAGTTGAAGTTAAGCGATTTTCGCAGTGGTCCGTCTTTGGATGGGTGACCAAAAATCTTCGATCTCGTGTTCCTCCGTGCTTTGGAAGACACGATAAGCTGTTGGTCCCGGCTGCATCTACAGTCGTTAGCACCCGCCATGCGCACTGGGCCCGTGTGGTGTGTCATTGCCCAATCTCCCTATTCCATCCACAGGGAAGGCCTGTGCCCCAGCAGTGGGGACATTAATAGACTAATGATGAATATTTTTGATTTTATTTATTTTTTAAGCATTTAACTGCCTAGATGTTTAAATCTAAAGAAAAGTTTACTAGAAAAAAAAAATTGTGGGTTACCTACAATGCGAAGAGATGGCGCTGCCTTGCAGCTTAAGGCTAGGAAAATTTCGACGCGGCTAATAGGGCCGTGGTAGCATAATGGTCAGTGCATTCGCCCGGATTGCAAAGGATGCGGGTTTGAGTCCCGTCCGCTGCCTGGTCCGCGTGGTTTTTTTTTCTAGTAAACTTTTCTTATGAATATTTTTCTTTGATTTAAGCTAGATTTAATATATTGTACTCAAGATCGGTCTCAGAGTTGAGAGCGATCTATTGATAGAGGCCTTAAACATCTAGCACTTAAATTCTTTAAATAATCTTGCTTTGTCATCCCCTCTATACTTTGCAGGTTCTTCTCAGTACAAGGTTTTACGCCGTAGACGCCGCAGTCTAGAGCTTGTCACATCAGATTGTAGTGTTGTATTTCTGGAGGTGAGTTGGTACCTACTGAAGAATTCCATGGCTCTACAGGGTAGTATTTGGCCAGGGTTATAAACGCAAATATATGCATAATAAACTCTTTTTTCAAATTAGTTGAGTCACTTTCACAAATCCAATATTATTTGGATGTTATTAAAAATCCTTTTTATTTCAATAAATCTTACTTACCATTTTTCTGCGACAGGTTTTCTTTTGTCAAAGTTATGATTATTATAATTTTCAGAAACAGCTTAAACATTGTCCTCGCCTAGAGCTGAGTCGTCAATATATGCGTGTCAGAGTACATTCTGTAAAAATGTAAATTTAAAAATACTCATATATACACAAAAGTTAAAAACAAATTATCGTAAAAGTGTATTAAATGCAGGGCCGTCTTTAACCTCTTGGAGGCCCTGGGCATATTAGGATAATGGGGCCCCTATAACTTTGATGTGGATTATAACTTGAAATGGAGCGAGTTAAATAAAAGCTAGTAAGTTGGTATTGTAGTCAGTAATTTAGGTTCGATTTCATCCAAATTATATAAGTTTTTTGGTAATAAATATTGGTTATCGTTTGGTGATCTGACAGGAACTAGGGACTTTGTATTTGATCTGAGGGGGGCCCCTATCGATCGCGGGGCCCTGGGCACTTGCCCAAAGTGCCCACTGAGAAAGACGGGTCTGATTACATGTATGTTTCTCATTTGGTGTTTACTTTAACACAAAGGTAGCTCTCAAAAGGAATATTTTTTCCCGTTTTTGTAAAGAAAATCACTACGGCTCCGTCCCTGTTCGTCATAGCTTGATATTAGCCTGTAAGAAAGAGAGCAAGCTTTCTTCGACAAATGAACTACACAACATAACAAAAAATCATTGAAAGAAAATATTACTAGAAAAAATTCCACTCGGACCAGGCAGCAGACGGGACTCGAACCCGCACCCTTCGCTATCCGGGTGAATGAAATGAAATGTCATTTATTCAGTCTAGGCTGTTACAAGCACTTGTGAAGGTCAAGAAGCTACGCCATCGGTTCGCAAAACTACGGCGGGAGACCTTGTACTGAGAAGAACCGGCAAGAAACTCAGCAAGGGCTGTTTTTTCTCCCTGTATTGTTATACACAGAGTCGTCAAATTGAAAAATGACCAGAGATACGCCTGAAGTCACCCTCCACTGAACATTATGTTACCGCGGCCCTGATGACTGTGTCAAATTCTTTCTAGCCTCTCTTAGAGACTCTCAAACTATTCGGATTCCATAACGGTTCGTGCTACGGGTATTGTTGTCTTTACAAATAACAATAACGAATAGCCATTAGAAAATAAAAAAAAAAACAAGAAATAAAACCGACTTCAAAATCGAAAATCGAACTAATAAGTACGATGTAATTTTCACTAAAACGGATGAAATAAAAAAAAACCGACTTCAAAATCGAAAATGAATCAATTTTGAAGTGGGACTATTTTTATTCTTAAAGTGAGAAACCGATTACCTACCACTCTCGCAGCGCCGCGCGCCTTTGCGAAGAAGCACGTAGTAGAATCCAATTAAACCAGTTTATTTGTAAATAATAATATGATAAATGATAATAGTGTATAATAAAACTCATAATTATAACTTGTTTAAGAATGTGCATAATGAACCTGCCATTTACGTAGAAGTATTTGTTTAGGCGTATTTAGGGTTATGTACCTTGAAAGGAAAAATGGAACCCTTATAGGATGACTTTGTTATCTGTCCGCCCGTCCGTCTGTCAAGACCCTTTTTCTCAGGAACGCGTGGAGGTATCAAGCTGAAATTTATATCAAATACTCAGGTCTAGTGCCCTTGCAGGCAGAGTCCTTGCGGCGATGGGATGAGGCACTTGCCCATGTAAGCGCCGGCCACCGGACGATTGAGGCCATTCGTCTCCAGTGTTACCAACCCTTACCAAAAATTTGCCCTAAGTATTTTTTAAATTCCCCTAAAATCCCCTAAATATAGAATTTTATATGTACCTACTAATTACCTAAATTCTCATAAATTAAAACTTTTCTTATTTAGTTACAGTAAATTATTTTATTGAATGAATGACAAAAATGAATGGTCAGCCGTGAGTATGACGTGAACGAATGAAAGAACGAACATGATTGTAGTATTGTTGTTTTATTATTTAACCATTCCATTGGTGATAGGCAAAGAACTTTAATCCATACAGCATTAGGTAACAGACCGCCACACAGTCAGTTCAGTCGTTTCATATCGTGGTGCGTTCCATTCTACGCACAAAACTGAAAGAAAACACACGCTTTGTTTTTCGATTTAATTGCAAGTTTTGTTAAAAGCCCCAAAACATTCCCGCCCATAAAAAAGACACAAATAGCCCCTAAATCGGGGGGCAAAACCCCTAAGTTGGGAACCGTGTTCGTCTCTGCGGAGGCGGCGGAGGGAGCTACACGGGCACGCCCAAGTAGTCCTCCGCAGCGGACGGGGGGCGGTACGGTGGGCACTAGGCCGCGTACTCAGCCCCCACGCGTGGGCCATCCTGCGCACGTCTGCGGGGTCCCCGCAATACCTCGGGAGACCCCTGCCGTGGAGCCCCGGCTAGGCCGGGAGGCTGCTGGGTGCGGAGACGCGGAAGAATCCCTAAACGGGGATCCCGCGGTTTCGCACTAAGCAGCTTAGAGGGTGTTCGCAGGGTTTTTTAGCGTATATTATGCCGTAAAGCGCCCGTAAAAGTTACGGGGTCCTCAGTGGGCAGCCACTGCTGGGGCTCGTAAGGCTTGCGGGAGCCAGGTGTGGGGTCCGTTCGGCGGTGTGCCTCTTAAAGGCGCCGTCGTCTGTAAACAGAGTTTTTGTCTGCGTCACAAAAAAAAAGGTCTAGTGTCTCTTGGAGCTGTGAAAAAATCAAACTTCTAAGCCAACGCAATCGAAAGATACAGCCCTTTATACCGCAAATTTTCGAAACTCGCAGTCGTCCCCCTCAAAACTTCCCGTGAAATCGGAATCTTGAAAATTGGTACGAAGCAATGTCTTATGGCACAAGATAAAGGAAAAATGTTTAGTTAGGTACATCACATATATTTTTGGAGTTTACTCCTTAAGAATCGATTTGCATATATAAGGGGCCCGGTATGAGAAAAATGTGAGGAGTAAAATCTATCGATGAATGACCTTGTTACGTTATTGGTGCGCATCCTATGTCGCGCAACTTTGACAAACAAAGATGACGGATTGACATTAATATTTTTTTTAAAATCTGAACTGAATTTAGATATTGTTTCTGATAGAGCAGTGGTTCTCAAACTTTTTAAATGACGGAACCCTTTTGGGAAGCAAAATACTTGATGGAACCCTACAATAAAACAATTATTTTTATAAGTGTATTCTATATTAATCAGCATAATAAAAGTACAATGTATCCGTTACTAATTATTATTTACTTCACCACTTGGTAAGGACAATAATAGAAAACATTAAAAAAGAAAAAATCTAACTAGTGGGAGGTATGAAACTGTTTTTTATTTTTCATCAATTGCTTGATATCAGGTTTGATGGAAGAAAGTTGGAGTCTCATATCAGCTTCGGCGTCCAGTCTATTGCGATATTTTGTTTTCGTGGCTGCGTAGGTAGAGAATCCTGTTTCGCACAAATATGTAGTTGGGAACGGGAGAAGAATATCCAGAGCCATTTGGCCAAGCATTGCATATTCATCTTGGATTCTGCACCAAAAATCATTAAGAGGCGTCGTTTTGAACAATGACTCCATACTTGTGTCTGATGACATTTCTAAAAGAGATTCATATATCTCATTTGACATGTTTTCAGGCTTTTCCAAGTTGGGTAAAAAAGGATTATGAATCCAGGAGTTCACTTTAATTTTTGTATTGTGTTCTTCGGGAAAATACTTTTCAAAAGATGCGCGCATCGAACTGAGATATTGGACCAATTCTTCAAACACATTATCTTCAAACATTTCTGAGTCGTTTTCGCTAACAAACTCAGTGAGTAACGTAAAACTTTCTATTTCTTTCTTACCAATGCAAATGATCCAAAAATCTAATTTTCTTTTAAAAGTAGTTATTTTATTATAGGCCTGAAACACTGTTGTCTGTTTACCTTGCAATGATAAATTTAATTCGTTAAGTTTTTGAAAGATATCCGCCATAAAAGACAATCGGAACAACCAAGTTTTATCATACAAACGGTCCTTCAAATTAAAAGAAGTATCTGCTGAAAGAAACATTTGTAACTCGGCTCTAAGTTCAAATAGCCTTGTTAAAGTTTTTCCCCGAGACAGCCATCGCACTTCTGTATGGAGCAGCAGTGTTTTATGTTTGCTGCCATAATCTTCACACAATAATGAGAACAATCGGGATTGTAGTGGTCGTGATTTGATAAAATTAATTATTTTTACCGCTTCATCCATAACTAATTTTAGATTAGACGGCATTTGCTTCATCGCAAGTGCTTGTCTATGCAGAATACAATGACTGGAACTACAATTAGGCGCTTTATTTTTCATTCGTGACACTGCTCCTGCTGTTTTACCTGTCATCGCCTTGGCCCCATCTGTACAAATGTCAATGCAATTGTTCCAACTGAGATTATGTTCTTCAAAAAATATATTTATTTTATTAAAAATTTCTTCCCCGGTAGTGTTTGTAAGCAGCGATGAACACATAAGCATGTCTTCTTCAAAAGAACTTTTATATGGATATCTCACAATAACCAGCAGGATAGCCAAACCAGCGACATCAGTCGACTCGTCCATTTGCAAAGCGAATCGTGTATTTTGTAGACGTGTAACTAGTTCTTGTTTGACGTAGCTTGCCAGATCATGGATTCGTCGTGAAACAGTATCGTTTGATAGCGGAACAGTAGAAAGATGCTTTGCAGATTTTTCATCAAGCATACATTTTGTTATGTCTAATACACATGGTTTTATTAATTTCTCAGCGATAGTGTGCGCTTCACCTGCTTGTGCAATGCGATAGCTAACTAAGTATGATGCCTCCGTGGCCTTTTCGTTGGTAGTTTGTGTTACATGCATCATATTTTTTTGACTTTCTAATAACTGATCTTTTTTGCGAACAAAAAATTCTTTATTCTTGTCTTTAGTCTCGGGGTGTACGGTTTCTAAATGTCGACGCAATTTGGCAGGTGCCATGGAACTATTAGGAAGCAGTTTACTACAGAGCATGCAGAGAGGTGAGCCGTTGGAATCAACAAATCCGAAACTGATATAAGATTCATCATACTTCCTTTTTTTCGTCTTTGAAACCGTCGAGCTTGACGTCGTGGCACTCGTGGCATCATCTTCTGGATCGGTGATTGCTAAATTCTCCGCGCGCATTGCTTTTGAACATTCAGCGTCATTAGAAGATGTTGTTGGAACACGTTTAACACCTTTAAGCCAACGTTCCATTCTTCTTTATTTATAATGTTACAAGTCAGGATAGTGGGGTTTAAATAATGCACAATCGTTACTGCGTATAAGAGACTAAATTTAGAACCTACAGGGAAGAAATGTATAAAACTGAGACAACAGAATACAGCAGGCAGTAAAACAATGAACACCAGTTTCTCGCTAGCGAGCTTGTAAGTAGGTAGTAACTTATCGCTCCGAACGCTAATCATCAACTGACGACGCCAACGCGCGATCGCCGCTTTTATACTTAGTCCTAGACTCGACCTTTGATAAACAAAAAGCAAAAATAAAAACAGAAATTTAAAAATAGCGTTGTAAACAATATCGACTTTATCCTTTGAAGTTAGAGACGAAAGTCGCTAGTTGACAACTATAGCGTCTAATTCAGAGGCGGCTTTTATCAAAGAGACTGAGCGCTTACAAGTATACTACCCGCTCGTTTTAAGTTTGCCGCTGGCGATAGGTATGAGTGTATGACGTTCGAAATTTTTTATTTAATTGTAACAATAAAAATTGTGTACGTTAGATATTTGGGTAAAACTATGACACATTATAAGTTTTGTTGTCACGTGGGGGAGGGTACGCGCATTCCACAGACCGGCAAACTTAGAGCGAACGCGTTGTACAAGTATAAAATTGTTGAGACCAAACTTATGAGATATTGTACCAGCTAATGTAACACAAGCTTATACAAATACAAATAAATAAATAAATAACATTCATAGCGTTTTGTCTCCGCGCGGCCGCGGAGTCCGCACAGCCGCGGAGCGACCAGAGAGAGGTGTTTTGATTTTTTTATTTCTAAATTCTTGCGGAACCCCGACAGAGGTATCACGGAACCCTAGGGTTCCGCGGAACACACTTAGAGTATAGCTGTGATAGAGCAATGGGGACAACAAGGTATGGTACGACCATTGATGCGGTATTTTCAAGATTCGTGAACCACATATCTACGAACGTCCATGTGACTTATTATTGTACGTAAAAGATTTAGTGACATAATTATCTTTTTATAACCATTTTTGTTAATTATTAAGAGAATATTATATTTTAAATAAAAAAATTATTATATGTAAACTCCAGTCGTGCGTCGGAGCTGACATACACAATTTTTTTTAATAATTTTCTGTATCTACAGGTTTTTACGGAACCCTCGGTGCGCGAGTCCGACTCGCACTTGGCCGGTTTTTTTAATAATAAGCGTGCTCGGCCTGCGATCGTGGAGTTAAGCAACTTTCGCAATGGCTGGTCATACAATGGGTGACCAAAAATTTTATTCTACACAAGGAAGACCGGCATTAGAAACTATACTTTTGGGGCAAATACCTTACTTTTTGGGGAAATATACATTTGGGGCAGAAGACCGCCAACCGATCGTCATATTATACCGGTAGGAAATCAAAAAATTAATTTATGATAAACAAAAAAACCCCTATAATAATCATCAATTCGGAAAATATTAGCTATAATTCGACCGGAAGTGGTATGATATGGTGGCATAAACTAATTTATAATGTGCAATAATGAGTCATGGCTGTTGGTGGTGCAATAATGAGTCATGGCATAATGTTTCTGCAAAAATAAACTTAAGATCTATGTGTGCCTTTCAACTGTCAATATAATGTGACAGAAGAAAGGCAAAATCGCTCAAATACGCCACTTTAAAGTAAGTTTTACTTATATGAGTAACTAGCGGCCCGCCCTCGCTTCGCTTCGGTGTAGAGCTGAAGTGTAGAATACAGTTTTTGTTCTCAGGCTTGTATTATACACAATGACATTCATCTATGATTCTTCTTATACCTGCATGCAAAGCCCTCAGCCCGATCGGTTTAAAATTGACAAACTTTCATACAAACTTTCATTCCCTATTTTATCCCCTTGGGGGTAGAATTGATCAAAATCCTTTCTTAGCGGATGCCTACGTCGTAACATCTACCTGCATGCCAAATTTCAGCCCGACCCGTAAAGTGGTTTGGGCTGTGCGTTGATATATAGATCACTATGTCAGTCAGTCAGCTTTGAGTTTTATATATATAGACTAGTGGCCCGCCCTCGCTTCGCTTCATTATTTTATCCCCTTGGGGGTAGAATTGATGAAAATCCTTTCTTAGCGGATGCCTACGTCATAACATCTACCTGCAAACTGCCAAATTTCAGCCGGATCCGTCCAGTTGTTTGGGCTGTGCGTTGATAGATCACTATGTCAGTCAGTCACCTTTGAGTTTTATATATAAAGATTAAGCAGTTAAATACTGATAGAACATTTTTACTAGAAATATTTCCACCCTCCGCTATCCGGGCCGATTCACTGACAATTATGCTACCGCGACCCTAATGGCAGTGTCGAATTCTTTCTAGTATTTCTAAGGTTGCAAGGCAGCGCCATCTCTTTGCATTGTAGGTAGGGTAACTAACTTTTTTTCTATAAAATATAGTATTTTCGAAGCTCTAGAAATATAGTATGGCAAACAAAAATGAAAATTGAAATGAGTATATTTTTACTGCTTTAATACCTTAATACTTTAGTTTTTATTTTAAGAAAGCTTTTACTGGCAAACGTCTGCTGTAAGCAAAATATAGTAGTTTCACCTACTATATATTTTTTTTAGAAATATGGTATTTGATCCCTTAATATAGTAGGATACCATATTATATAGTAAGGTTGGCAACCCTACTTGTAGGTAACCCACAATGTCAAACGAATACCTTTACAAGTATTAAACATTGCAAAGAAGAAATAGCAATTGTAGTATTTATATTTTAGGCATTTAACTGCTAGATGTTTAAATCTAAATTCTGCTGCCTGGGTCGCGGGGAATTTTTTCTAGTAAAATTTTATTATGCCTGATGTATGTCTCACTGAGAATACATTATTAAAATAAAATTGCTTAAATATAAAGCTGGCCCAGCGAACTTCGTAGTTCATAAGACGAAGAATGGTATTTTTTATCTTCTGACCAAATTCCATCAAAATCGGTTAAGTTGTTTAAGCGATAGTGCCATTGCGCTGGCCATTGCCATACAGACTTCGTATTTACAAAAACAATAGTATAAGGAAGCTCCTATGACGTACTTAGAAGTAGAACCACATGACTAAAGATATGACTGAATCCCAAATAACAAGGTATTTATGTGTGATCTAATGACATTAATATAAAAAAAAATAGCAATGATACTTACGTTTTAAAAGAAGTATGTATATATATAACCCACAAAATGTCTACGAAAACTATTTATTAATCACATAAAATCCATTTTGAAAAAAAGAATACTACATATGAAAACACATCACACATCACATTACACAGTTGACAAAACTTTTAAACCTTATTCAGATATAACTATCGTATATTTTTCATTAAAATTTTAAAATAGCACTTTATTAATTGAACAATAATGGCGTGCGTATTTTAGCACGTTAGCGATGTAGCTTCTTATCTTCGGAGTCTAATACTGGAAGGGAACAGGTTTGCCCCATTTAATTTTCTTGTTTACATATTTGTGGTACAGTATAGAGATAGCCAGTAGGAAAATGGATTAGGTAATTAAAATGACATTTGATTATAATTTTTATTTTTTAAGCATTTTTTTTTGAGTGTGTATGCTGTTGGTCGCCGATGACCTTTATAGCGTTACCGGGTTTGGGGACGGCGAGATCCTAAGGGGACCTCAAGCCGAGAATTGGCGAGTGCCTCTAGAGGTATTCCAGGCGGATGGCATCTCCCTACGGGGGGAGTCTCCTTTTTAAGCATGTTACTGTTTGATGTACTTAATATTTTACCACGTACGACAAAATTGTAGATTATATTGTCGCCTGCAGTGTTATCAGTCCAATACAACCCATACCTGACTTACAAAAAAGAGTACTCCTGCCTTGAAGGTCGGCATCGCATTTGTGATACTCCTGGTGTTGCAGATGTCTATGGTGATCTCTTACAATCAGGTGAGCGGTCTGCTCGTATGCTCCCTATATTATAAAAAAATGCCGTTATAACAATAAATTCGAAAAACTGCTATTGCGGTAAATCATATAAGCGAGCATTCTCTTTCTTAATAGGGGTGATGACGGGGTACAGTAAACGAAATTCTAATTAGTCCGTCAGTTAGATGATCAAAAAATAATGGACACGTATTTTTTCTTTGGGCAATCAACTAAAAAATGACAAAGTTATAGCACATCAAAGTTTGGGAGTAGGGGCTCGTGACGTCACGTTTGAGTACACTTATAAGTGAAAATTCACTCAAAAGTGACGTCACGAGCGTCATGCGACTTTTCAAATCAATATATCTCTGCAATGTTTATATTATGTGAAAAAAGAAAAATACGTGTCCAATACTTTTTGATAATCTACCTGATAAACGAAGAAAAAAAAATTAGTCATCATCCCTATTATCGAAATCTCTAAATTTAATTCAGGATATGAAATATAACATTTTGAAATTTTACTCAGGAATAGTTACAGCAACATTCTCGACGTAAGCGTCTATTCATATTTGATTAATGTGCTCTTTTCTTTAATTGACCGAAGAATAAATCATCGTCGTGTCAATTTCGTGCGTTGGTTTCGAAGCGAATAGGGTATTTGACAAGTTTTAGAAAACGATCTCACGTTATTGACTAATGTTTATGGAGTCTTTAAAAAGTGGATATCCATTATTCTGTTGCGTATTTCAGTAAAAATAACCAAATCAAAAACTCCATTTTCAAGTTGCGTCTTACTAGTGTGTGACGTCACACGACTGTTATTAAAACGTCAAATGATACAATGTAATGTCACTTTAACCGGAAGTTTACTTGCGTGTGACGTCATTTTAGGCTCCGCCAATCCTAGCGTTTTGGGTCACGTAACAATAGTTATGAAAATTATTATCTTTTTCATGGGTTTTTAGTAAAATTATGAATATTTTTTTTGTAAAAATAGCCAATATTTATTCTGAACACAGATGCTAACAATTGGCACTTTATTTTTAATACTGTCAACTACCCTATTCCTCTTAAACTCTTACGTTTCATGGAACACGGAAATTTATAGGTTACTATTTAATTAAATTCAATTCAATTCGCACCATTCGCTATTCGGGTCCGAGTCCCGTCTGCTGATTGGTCCGCGTGGTTTTTTCTTCTAGTAATATTTTCTTTATGACATTTAATTTTTAGGTTTCGGTACTTTCCGTAGCTCTCTCTCTAAGGTACCTTGCACACAAGACGGCCACGACTACGACCAGTGACTGCAACTACCAGATTATCTTAAGAAACCTATGAACGTCGCGCACTTGGCCGCAACGGCCAACTGGCCGCACACTGGGTCGGCGCGACTGGTCTTTCCAACCAATTTACGTATAATTAAGGATAACCCAATATCACGCATGCCGTTTTTCCGAAATAAATGAGTTTTGATTCAGAGGTAATTAATTATTATTGAAACAAAGAAACGATCAGCAATATGGCCGCTTTACGATGACAAGCCGTGGTCGTGGCTAGGGTTGCCAACCTTATTAAACCTGGTTATTAATAAATGTTAGTACTGTTCTTAAAAATACCTACCAATAACTAAATAACACCCATAACAATTTCATGCTGGGCTGAATATTGATTTCATCTTAAGCATGAATATTGAGCATCTGTAACCCTGTGTTTTAAATCGGTATATGAGGTCAAAAAAAATCGCGATTTAGGGTTGCAGCTTGCAGATCGGGACAGGAAACACCTGGCAACACTAGTCATGCCCCCCCCCCCCCCCCGGGCAATAGTACGCGAGATGCCTAATCTAAGTGCAACACGTTCGTTCACGTTGAACTGTTTGCGTCACAACAGTCAACGTGCCAGCGGTCCTTGAGCCTAGCGGCATCTTTCGTGACGATGGCAAGAGACCTGACGGAATGACGCTCATTCCGTGGAAGTAGGATCGCCCTCTTGTGTGGGACGCAACTTGCGCGGATACGCTTGCTCCGTGCCACACAGAGAGCACCTCCCTTGCTGCGGGTGCGGCGGCGGACTCTGCTGAATGCTCTAAACGGCGCAAATATTCAGCTCTCAATGAGAACTATATATTTGTGCCGTTTGGTGTTGTGACCATGGGCCCATGGGGTCCAAGCGCTCGTTCCTTTTTTAGGGAAATATCAAAGAGACTCACCGAAGTTACTGGTGATCAAAAGGCTGGCAGCTATCTTGGTCAACGGATCAGCCTTGCCATTCAACTTGGCAATGCTGCCAGCCTATTGGGCACCATCCCTGACGGCGGCGATGGGGGTGACTTATTTTTTATTTTGTAAATAGGATGTTATTTATAAGTAAGTTTAGGAAATTTGTATTTAAATATTATTTATTTCTGTACATATATAATTAAAAAAAATCTTATTGATATCACACTGACCGTGTGTTAACTGTGACTAATAATACTCGTTACACACATCTAAGTTCTAGTTGTTGACTTCTGTATTCCAGTTTGTTTTTTGGCGTTTTTTGGCGAGTACATGAAATTAAGTCAGTTTTATTATAATTAGGAATAATTGAATGCGAGTCTGGCTGTTATTAAATTAAAATTATACCTTTAAAGTAGCGGTCGGCTATTTGCCAAAATTTGACCTTTTAATTTTCTCTGTTTTCATATTTTTAATGCACTTTGTTTCGCTTAAAAAATAGATGTTGGTGGTAGTAGAAGGGTGAAAAATCTAAGGTATCATATATTTCTTAATGTTGAATTATAGTAAAAAAAAATCCAAATACTAAAAAAAAAATGGTTGCCTGTAAAGTCGGTTTTACGGGCGAAGATTTTACGTGACAACGTCTTTTTCTCGGTAGAATATTTATTGATATGAATATAATTAAATTGCACAATAGGAACAAGGAATTGAATGAAAATAAGAATTGCACAAATTTTAACTATAGAAATATATTTTGTTTACTAAAACATTGTACATGTAAACTTAAACTTAACACGAGAGACTCATCGTAACGTTACCGAGCGTTACACTTTTTCATAAGTGACTCCCAGCCGCAACCTAATTTAAGACGTTGTCACGTCAATAAAAATTAAACGGTGTAAAAGCGCATTTTCATTTGGTCGCTAGCCTGTATTCGGGTATACGAAAGGGTGCGGCCAGAGTGCACTCAGATTCAGATTCAGATTCCGAAAACAAGCGCGAGAAATAAACAGTGTAGTCGAAGGGTACGGCCAGAGTACACTCCTGATTCCGATTCAGATTCAGACTCAGAAAACAAAGCGCGAGAAAAAGCAGGCAACCTGCTTAGACTACACTGTTTATTTCTCGCGCTTGTTTTCGGAATCTGAATCTGAATCTGAATCTGAGTGCACTCTGGCCGCACCCAAAGACAGTACTCTAATTCGGGCACTTGATACAATATTTACATTGTTTACACTGCAACACGGGAATACAGCTTCGGGTAACCAAAACTGAAACTGTCTGAATACGGGCATACTCGACTACGTTCATTTACACTTAGTCGTTTGTTCGAATTCCGGGCTAATGATCAAGTAGTTTTTTTTATGCAAAATAGGCTATGCGTTTGACCACAATCTCACCAGGGGGCCATTCGCCTAACGGAAATGCTTTGGAAAACGCTTACGCTTTCGATTTTATTTTATTATTTCTGACAGCTGAAGGTTTTCAAATACCTCACGCTTATTTTTTTTATTATTGTTATTACCAATGCAAAAGAAAAAAAAAAGAGTGCGAGGATTTGAAAACCTCAGGCGGCTAGAAATAACAAAATGAAATCGTAAGCGTTAGCGTTTTCCAAAGCATTTCCGTTAGGCGAATGGCCCCCTGATGGAAGGCGATGATGAGGCCTAGGATGGTACACGCCTGCCTAGAAGATGCCTGTTCACTCTGGCCTTGAAGATGTCCAGATTATATTAGTCCGGGAGAACAGACCTCGGCAAGGAGTTCCACTCCCTAGCCGTTCGCATTGCATTCGTTCCGTTTTGCAGTATAGGGGTATGAAAAATAGTTTAGTATGTCTAAGGAATAATACATACTTACCGTATGTATTATTCTCAGACATACTGAATATACAATCACAATTTCATAAGAATTGGTCAAGCCGTTTCGGAGGAGCTTTGTTAGTATGTAGTAGTTTTTTGTTTGTCATCGTGCTTTAATGTTTGTAACATTGTGACACGATAATTTTATACACAGTGAATTTTGAGTAGTTGACAAACTTCAATATCTAATTCAGTACCCTTAGCACGAACCAATATCGAATTCGAATAGTTTGCGAGTGCGAAATGTCATTGTCAAATATGTAGGCTGATTTTTAGTTCTTGTTACGTCCATTGTGGCGCTGCTGTTCAAGTTTCCATACAAAATTTGACAATTCCATACAAATTTTTAAAAGAAAAAAAAGTCTGTAAATGGTAACAAAACACAATGGTACAAAACCAGGTGCTACTTAACACCATTGCACCAATGTGTCGCCAGAACCGCTACCCATTGACGATGGAAAATTGCCACTTGGAAAACGTTGATTGAATAACCAGTCAATTGTAGGCTTGATAAAATTGCGTACCCTTCAACGGCCAAGTCACACAACATTAACCATAATAATAAAAAAATCGCAGTA